TTGGTTGTAGCTTTAGTGTTGAAGTAGGCAATGGTTTTGGATTTTATGATCAAGTAGGCTGGGACATGTTGTACTGAACCTCTTGTGGTGTATGTTTGTGCACTTGGTATGAAATGTGGGCCTTTGTGCTCTTGGACATCTCTTGTGTAAGCTATGCATTGCTGCTATATGTTGGAAATAAAGATCCCTTTTGCTTATGATGATTTACTATTGTTGGATGAAATTTAGGCAGCATCTATATATATGACTTGCAGCCTATACATTTTGTGATGAATTCTGTACATTACATGACAGTTCTAGGCATTACTGTTGTTGGATGAAATTTAGATGCAAATGTAGTAGCCTAATTCAAATACAACATAATAAAAATAGAAAAGTTCATGGTTCACAAATCTCTAAAAAATGCAAAGTTCAGTCATCATCACTGTCTTCTCCTGAAGTATTCCCTCCTTCTTCTGGACTATGGTACTCAAGATAGGTTTCATCTTCATCTTCATTTCCGTCGTCTGCTTCATCACCTTGAGCTGTATGTGGCTGTCGTCAGATGGTCTCCACAAGGTCTCTACTTATAGGGCTGCCTGGTTCATTCTCCATGTGCAACAAATCCAAATCAGGATGAATGTCTCCCACTGCACCTTCTCTCGATGAAATGTGCTCCTCTTGGTATGCCTCCAGACATCTAATTTGTTGCTGTTCTTGAATTGCTTGGTTTGTGTTAGACTCTTCGACATCAAATATATGTCAGTGGCCAAATTCTTGTAGCACTCGCCAACTTGGACCTAACTTTGTATCTTCCAAGAGAAATGCTTGTGAAGCATCTGTGGCTATAATGAAAGGATCATCCTTATACCATCGGCCTTGGATGTTTATGCTCTTGAAGTAACCATCATCTTTCATCTAGTATGTCCTTCCCTCTAGATTGTACCACTCACACCGTAATAAGACAACAGTTCTTTGGCCTTTGCTATTCTTATTGTAACTCAACTCAATAATGTCTTTGATTGTCCCATAGAAGTCAATTGTGTCATCACCATGAGTACCTGTACTTTTGATGGTGGAGTTCTGTGTCTTCCTATGTTCGTCACGAGCCAAGGTGTGGTACCGTACCCCATTGATTATACAGGATGTGTAAGAACGCACTCGTGGATCCGGCCGACATGCTAGTGAGTACAGGTCTTCATCAACATGTGTACTGCCTTGGTATTTCAATGTGGTAATCTGCAGGTTGAAAACATACAGAATAAGTGAGTTTCAAAATTTACTGTCTCATAAATAATAAAAGTTCAATAATAAAAGATAGCCTAGACTCCTCGGTGCAACCTTGATAAAGTTCACGCTTTGCCTCTTCCATAATTTCTTTATATAAGTTACCACCGAAGCCATGGCTTGCTGCGTCGCACAAATCTTGAATCAACCCCTGAACTCCCCTTGCACCGTCATCTAAGACATCTTCAGCTTGTCCTTCCTCATCAAGTGGTGCCTGGTCATTTCCATCCCATGACATATCTTCTGGTACAACAACAAGTTCTCCATCTTCATCTTGTCCAACATCAGTTTCTTCCTCTCCATGGTAAACCCACCTAGTATAGCACCTAGACATACCATTGAGTTCGATATCCTCGTGTACATCATCTAGGCTTTTGTCTATGTGGTTCAAGCATTTTTTGCATGGGCACTTGATCTTCTCATCTGCACTAAATCTAGCTCTGACATGTTCCATGAATTGCTAAACACCACACAAAAATGCCGGCGAAAATGGTTCACTGTTATAAATCCAACTTCTGTCCATCTCGACCTAGATAAATAAAAGACAGTAATTAGCATTGTTTATTTTCATGACCAAGATAACATAAAATGGTTCACTGTTTTCTTCAAGGCAATACACAATATTTCATTTGAACACTGGTTCTTCCTATGAGATGAAGTATCAGGAAAAGGTTAGTTCAGCCTTGTTTTTCTCAGATTGGTAGTAGCTCACCTTGTGGGGGTGGTTGTCATGGCTGCAGGTGGATGGTGAGGGAGCAGATCGGGCCGGTCAAGCTCCACTACAGCTTGGACGGCCAGGCTACACCACGGTGCCTGTAGGTCCTCATCACCGTTGAAGTTGGGGGAGGTGAGGGTCGGTGCGGCTGGAGGAGAGGGCCTGCAGCTGCTCATCGCCGGTGGCCCTGTCGGTGCTCGTTGCCGTTGAGGTGGGGGGAGGTGAGGGGCGCGGCTGGAGGGGAGGGCCTGAAGCTGCAGTGCTAGTCGTCGGCGGGCCTGCAGGTGCTCGTCGCCGACGGGCCTGCAGGTCCTCGTCACCGGCGAGGCTGTGGGTCGGGGCGGCGGGGAGAGGCTGCAGGCCAGAGACAGTGGCCGAGCGGGCCACTGAGCATGTTAGCTGGTCCGAGCGCCAGGGAGCAAGTGTACATACCCCTTCTTTATATGACATGTGGGCCCGGTGTTTCAATGACATGTGGGCCATAAGATGTTCATCAGCATTTCTTGCTCCCTGTGAATTGTTGGCGAATTTGTTTTTTTAATCCATGGCAAAATCTTATAACAAGTCTTTCTCCTACACGCAATCTCCAAATCTATTTTTTTTCTCCTAAAAATTTCTAAAATCATGATCTATCAATGTGTTGTGATGATTTATACCATATAGTCAGGTATCATGTTTTGAATAGTTCAAAAGTACAATTTATAAAAATATACAATTTGAATCCAAAATTTGAAACTCAAAATGACTTCGGCTATAAAATTCATGAATAAGAAAGTTGTTCAACTCATGAAGACCAACAAGTGTTAGCTTGGCCATTTTCCCATTTGACAAAGTGGTAAAAAAGTAGTTCACAAATTTTACATTCACTCTTATAGTTTCATGAACATTGAGTGAGATATATGATTTCTGTGAACAAAGTTATTGTCACTTCCTCGGATGAACAAACTCCTAAAACAAGAAGTGTACATCTTCATGAGATGTGCAATCTTTGTGTTCATCACTTTTAAATCTGAAATTATTTAGTACCCCTAATTTTAGTTCCAAGCTCAAATTTTTTGAAATTCAAATTTGAAACTATCAAAAAGTGTCAAATGAAAAAATACCCAAAACCAACGTTGTAGATTTCGACGAGTTGTACAATTTTGTTTCAGACATTATTTCCATTTTCTATCATTTAATACCCCAAACATTCATTTCAAATCATAATAACAATAAAAGGGTCACTGACTAGTGGACCCTCTGCACCAGTAAAAAAATTCGGCCAGCCCAGGTCCGGCCGCCGACAAATCGGGCCCAGTCGTCAGGCCAAAATTTTCGCTGTCACCGGACACTCTCTCCCGCGCTCTCCCGCTCACCGACATATGGGGCCCACCCCGCTTCCCACTCAAGCCACCCAAGCCCCAGCGCCTTATCCTCTTGCCCGGTCAGACTTAGGGGAAAAATCCCCAATCTTGTGCGCTCGACTCCACCGCCCACCGCCGCCACCACCCCTCGCCGCCGCACCGACCACCGCCAAAACGCACACCTCCACCGCGTGTACTCCACACAGACCATGGCGCCGCGTCCTCCCTAACCCTAGCGCCGCCGCCTCCACTGCCATCTAACCCTCGCGCCGCCTCCTCCCTAACCCTAGCGCCGCCTCCTCCCTAACACTAGCGCCGCCGAGCATGGCCATTTCGTCCTCCCTCCCCGCAACATAGCGGCGCCAAGCGCCGACGACGTGCAACCCAATGCCGGAGGCCAGAGCAGTAGATTACGCCACCGGCATCCACGGATCGACCCCGAGCCACGGATCCACCACCAAGCCGGCATCCCGGACTCCGTCACCTCCGCCTCGACGTAAGCCGGATCCACCACCAAGCCGAAACTTGCACAAAGTCATATGCTGGCTATGCTTAATAGATGTTGGACCATGGATAGATTTTCAAGCATGGCTGTAGTTGGGCATGGGATGTTTTCTCCAGAACGTGTTGCTGCATGACCAATCTGATCTATCTATAGTGCTTGTTATTCTTGATTTTGTGCCTTCAAAACTATAGAAAGAGAACTGGCTGGCTGACATAACTAGGGAAGCTGAGTAGCTTTTGTAGGCTTTTGAGTAATGATTTGTTATGCAATATGGATTTGTTATTTTGCCTTCTTTCTACCATTTATTGTTATTTTGCCTTCTGTCTACCATTTTCTAAAATCATACTGATCTGTGAGTATTTCTTTTCAACTCCTCTACAGAAACTATTTCCAGTTTCTGATCTTTCTGCAATTGCTCGTACTAAGTAATACAACAAATGATGAAAAGCAAGTACGAGCAGCAGAGGGATGAGAATGTACAGAATATTCAGGATGTTTTTAAGTCTCTAGGCATTGAGGTCTTAGCTCAGACAGTTAGTGATGTTTTTTCAGAAAAGAAAAAGGGGAAAGCGAAGACTGTAGTCACTGACAAACAGGGCTTTGACATTGATTATGATCCATGCTCTGAAATTGATAACGAATCTGACAGCGATGATGAATCTGATGATGACCTCACTAACGAGGTCTATCTATTTGAAACATGTAGCTCATTGTATCATTTAATCTACTAGGTCACTTGTTTCTACATTAATAATATGGATGTTTATCTTGGTAGGTAGAAGAGATGGTTCCAGGAACAAGGCCTCAGCAGAAGAAGCAAAAGCTAGCATCAATGACGGCTGCCAGCCAGCAGCCACCGCGCATGCCAGGAAGAGTCACTAGGCTACAGGCAGCCATGCCTTCGCCAGGAGGGCGTCCACCACCTAAGGAGAGACATCCCTTGCCTCCTAAGAACACTACCAAAGCCAACCCCAAACCTAATGCCGTTTCTAGTGCCACCCAACTGCAAGGCCACCTAAGTACAAGCGACAGCCAGACTCAAACCACATAAACTACTACCATAGTTCCTACTACTCCAAAAAGCACCACATCCAGTCCAGCCTTGTCTGCCCCTAATCCAGGGATAGTGCCTAGTCCTACAAAATACACTAGGTTAACTGCAGCCTGATCTATGACTGGTGCAAACCCTTGGCTAAGGTCTCCACCTAGAGGCAACCAGATCAGTTCAGCCATGTTTCAACCTATTGCAAACAGTGACCATACTACTCCTACACAGACTCGGCAACCTACTCGCACAACTAGTGTCACCCAACCAGTTCCTATAGACACCTCGCCAGGTGCACGGAGCTCTAGGCAAAGCAATGAAATCAATGAGTCTAGTGAGCAACTTGATGCTGCAAATTCAGAGGGCCATGTAGAGCAAGGAGAGGGACAGACTGGCTTGGTTCCAGGTAAACAAAATTTCCAAGCATTATTGTCTCTATTGCATATCTACACTTGTTACTGCTATATGAACACATTTTTATTATTGTTTGCCAATTGTAGTGGCCCAAAAGCAAGTCCGCAAGAAAACCATTGGTCTTGGCTTAGAGAGGCTGGTAAAAAGAGGAAACAGGATGCCTATTCAAGTTGTTGAAGGACAGAAGAGACCTGATGTCCCACTTCAGGCAGGAAAGCTGGCATCAGAGACTGGTGTTGCCCTTAGAGACCAGCTCCCTATCTTCACATCTTGGAAGCTTTATGAAAGAGATGAGGGGCCTGCACAAGTACAAAAAGTGCTTGACAAAGTGGCGGTGAGAGCTATTTTACTCAAAATACTTTCTTTCCTTAATCTACTTCCATGTACAAAATTGTGTCTAATAACTCATTTGTGTGGCTACAGACAAGGTTGGATGTGCAAGTTGAGCATGAGGGACCAAGCAGGGCTGCATGCACTGATATCATTAAGAGGGGAGTACGGCAGTAGAGGTATCACCTCAAAAGGAGGTACTTCGACTCATCACTGACAAGAGAACAACTGCTGGCCAAACAACCTCCACTGAAGATGAAGAAAGCGGAGTGGACCAAGCTGGTAGACTACTGGTGTGACCCAAAGAATCAGGTCCATGCCCTGCATCATCTGTTTTCGTTAATATGCAATTTCAACTATGTGCATGTGAATGAAAACTTTGTATTGCATTTGTGGTGTAGGTGAAAAGTGAAAAGAATAAAGCAAATCGAGGGCAAGTGCAGCTTCACCAAAGGACTGGATCTAGGTCCTATATTGCCCATCGATATAGCCTGGTACGAAAACTATATCTTTTGCGCAATTAACTTCAAAGATGGGACATTTGTACCATAGTAGTTATCGATTGCTTTTGAACTGTCAAGTGAGCACATGCTCTGATTATTTCTGTGGTGACCTATGCTTTTCAATCACAAACTGGTTTTTGTAAGATTAGCCTCCTGCTGCTGCTGCTTGCATGGGTAGGATGAGCATGATGCTTTTCTAACATGATATCTGCTTGCATTGGTAAGATTAGCCTACTGCTGCTGCTGCTTAACTGCATGGATAAATAATGTGAAGAAAAACTGAGTTTGAATGAATTATGCTTGCACCATGCATGTGTTACAGTATTAGTCTTTGAATGATGGATTTATGGTCATCTTCCTATTGACATGTACAAATAATCCCATGTTTCTGCACCCCTCACTTTACCTTCTTGGATATCATTGAAAATTGTGTTTTACATGATGCAGAGGCCTAAGTACAACAACATGGAGCTAGATCCTGTTGAATTCTTTGGAGAATGTATGAACAGTCCACAAAATGGTCGTACTCAGCTTGCGGATGACATATATGTAAGTTATCAATAATTATTGCATACATGTACTGTACTCAAATTCAAGCCTGATTGAACACTGTTGTATGGCCTTGTTAACAAGTGGAATCATTATATGTAGGCACAAATGGTTGTAGAGAAGGTAGGAGAATGAGAAGAAGGAGAAGCACCAAAGTCTCCATCAAAGATTGTTGTTGATAGTCTAAGCCAGATTAGCCGTTCCTCAACATTCCTCCCAAACATTGGTGTCACTAAAGCGCAGAGTGCTGCCCGGTCCACAACAGCTGCAGTAGAAGCCCGCTTGCAAGCTCAATTTCAGGCAACACTCCAAGCAGAAAGAGAGGATGCTGCAAGGAAGCAGGAAGAGTTGCAGGAACAGCTTCGAGTTCAGCAGGCCTCTCTTGAAGAACACCAAAGTTTGTTGCGCTAGACCCAAGAAGAGGTGAAGGGGATGAGTACAAGGTTTGATGAGACTAATGCACTGCTGCGAGTGGTATTGAAACTCCAGAAAGATTGAGGTAGGTCTGGATGCACTCCATGTTCACAATGCCTATGCCTTATCTTCTGCTACCTTGCTTGAACAACAAACTTTCTCTATTGCCACTTTGAGGACTATGTTTCTATGTTTGTGAACTATGTTGTCAGAACTATGTATGAACCTGTGTGTTGTGGTTGAACAGTTTGAACTTGTATGATGGAATGATGGAACCAGAAACTTTGGTGTTGCTCTTGCTTGCAAGCACTTATTATATTTCCAGTTGCAATGTGTGTATGATGGTTTGCCTCAGTTCTGTATGACTTATGAGTTCTGATGGCTGTGATGGATGATGCCTACTGATACAATCTTGTGGATGATGGACTTTGAGATGTATGTGTATATCTGTGTGTATGTGACCTATAATGGAGATCTGTGCTGTAGTCATCATTGAATGCAAGGACATTTCATGATGATCTGCTAAATATATATGTATACAAAGCAATACACAAGTTAACTATCACATAATGCTATATGACGCCTCTATTTGTCACAAAAGACTGCTTCACTTTATCAAACGAGTACAAAACATGACAAAACCTTAATGTCACATAATATTATATGATGACAAATGATGTCACAAAAAACTCCTCATTTTCTCCGAAGCCATACCTAACACGACGGAGGAAATTGTCACATAATGATGTATGACGATCAGGAGTCGTCACAAAAAGTTCTCCAGTCAACACTAGCTACTTTCAATTTGTGACGGGTCATGTATTATATGACGCGTTGACCACTCTAATGTGACGACAGCTGACGTCACAAATTATAGGAATATGTGACGAATAAGTTCAACCGTCACAAAAGGTCTTGACATTTTGTGACGACCTTCCATTTTTCGTCACGCGGTACTTTTTGTGTCGTTCATTTTGTGACGACAGCATGACGACCACTTTTTTGTCACAAATTTCTTTTTATGACAATATCTGCCCTTAACATGACGATTACGCTTTGTCATACAATCCCAAAATTCTTGTAGTGCCGCTATACTAGCGGCGGTGGCGGTGGCGGCGGCGGAGGATCCCTGGTGTGCTGTGGTAGCTCCAGCTTCCTTTTGTAGGCTAGGCGGCAGGGTTTGCCGGTGGAGTGCGGCAGCATTGGCGTCCGTGTCTGTTGTGTGCCGCGGTAGAGGTGACAGATCCGATCCGCAAGTCTCCCCTTTCTTGCCTTTTCCTGTTCGCTTCACTATTTTAGTCCTTGCTTGAACATGAGGTATACAAGAAACATTCTAACATTGACAATCTGGTTAGGCTAATGATATGATGATGAAAAGAACTAGGAGGTGACACTAGTTGGTTTTCTATGGATGTCTTGGTTTTCTGCTGATGTCTTAGTTTTCTGCATATGTTCAGTTTTGTTACTGTAAATGGCAGTGTGCAACTACGTTTGTTAAGTGTCAAGTGCTTGCTTGATTATACCTATCTATTGAGGCAAACAAATAGGTCCATTGCTTCTGCCTTCAAAACTATTGTAATTATTGTCCTCTTAATCTTTGTATGTCTCCTATGGAAGAAGCTCTGAGCTCGTGTACTGATTGTAAGTGTGATGGATAGACTTGATTTAGCTAGAATTGTAATGGTTACAGCTCCATTAACTGCTACTCTAGTTTGAGTTATATATCTATGTGGTGCTACTCTAAATTTGTTTGAGGTCGTGCCATAAAAAATGTTAATTGTTGTTAAAGTTGTACTTTGGTATGAGTTGTGGACTTCACCGTTGGATCTTTGTTGGATTATTTTCCTCTTCAGTGATCTCATTACAGACGAAATGGAGAAGGTCCCGAACAAGAGGAATGCACTGGCCAGCCTCACGGATGATGCCGTTGTCGAGATCCTCCGCCGCCTCCCCGCCAGCTCCTTGTTTTGCTGCAAATGTGTCTGTCGCTCCTAGAACCGCCTCATCAAGGACTACAACAGCCATAAGGTGCTACCCCGGAATGTGGCAGGCTTCTTCTATGACAACGACCAAGGCCATCAATGCTACACAAGAGTCACCAGTGAACACCCCTCCTTGTCCTTCAGCTTGGCCAATGCAGCTGTCTCAGATATCTACAACGGCCTCATCCTATGCTGGTGCCGAGGGGCTGATGGATCATACTGCTATGTCGTCTGCAATCCGGCAACCAAGGAGTTCAAGGAACTGCCACCTAGCATCCATTCTGTTGGTGAGTGTTGACGGTCATTAACATCAATCATAAACCATTAACATAACCTGCATATATACTTAATTCCATCACCAAACATAGGTATAGGGGTTTAAACTAACAAATTCCATGAGTTTTGGTGAATCTGTGTTTTCAACAGGGTTAATCCAGAAAACCGTCAAGGTGGACCTATTCATCATAGTAAATCACGCTTAACCACGACGTAAACAACTCTAGAAGATTCCAGAGGACACCAGAGGACTCTCCACCCAAGATGACCGTGAGAGTCTGACATAGGGGGCTAGCCAGCCCCACTTGCAGGCCAGTGGGCTTGTGGGACCCACGGGTCAGCCCCTCCTCACTATGTCAGTTTCCCACCGCCTTAAAGATCGCATCTATGCTGTTTATTCAAGTCGGTTTGATCTAAGGGTCCAGAATTGATGCTACCCCCTATATATACATCCCGGTACCACCCTCCCTAGAGCCATCCTAAAACCCTAGTTCATATTCTTCTTATCAGGATCAGAGCCAGCTATCAAGAGAAGATTAGTCCTCCATAGGATCTAGTCTTGTATTAGAAATAGAGAGATAAAGAGTGAGGGAAGAGTTTGGAGAAAGTGTTGGCATGTCGGTACTCTCTCTACGGCTTGTACCTTGGTGGAATCAAGTTCTACTTGAGCTTGCTTCTAAGGATTCTCTGGTAATCAATATCTAATTTAAGTAAGCATCGTGTTTATATTGCTCATCAAGTTCACAACTCTTTGAGTGCTTTAATCTATAGGATGCTCTAGGTTAAATTAGTAATTGTAGGTGTAATCGTGGTGCTTAGACCGGGTTACTTGTGGATGTACCCTACATTCCGGATCGATGGTAGCTCACGAGGGTGACTCTTATAGCCTCGTTGAATCCTCTGTAGTCCACCTCCCGTTTGTAGGCCTAGTAGAATTTAGTTACTATAGGAAACATACTCTGCTTGTGTTGCCCTTAGTAATATCCCCAGTTGAACAATAGATACTAGAATTGTGGTGGGTGGCTTGCATTTTTAGTAGGCTAGCGCAACATTCACTTCGCCTCATATTTGTCTAACCATTTTGTTTAGTGTTGTTGTAGAAATTTTTATAGGCTATTCACCCCCTCTAGCCACTAGGACCTTTCAAGTGGTATTGGAGCCATGGTCACCGTGATTTGAGGCTTAACAACCTTCGGTGTCAAAATAGCTCAAATCAACAACACCAAGAAGCCACCCCAATTTGATGGCTCCAACTATCCTTATTGGAAGGCTAAGATGACCACCTACATCAAGTCAATCAATAGAAAGGTGTGGAAGGTGATGGAGACCAAGATTAAGATTGCCAATGAAGAGACTTCCACCGCCGCTGAAGAAGTGCTACTCTAAAACAATGACATTGCTTTAAGTGCCATTCATGATGCTTTGTATGAGAGAACATTTGAGCAAATCAAGAACATTAAGAGGGCTCATGGGCATGAAATAAGTTGGAGGAGTCATTTGAGGGCACTCAAGCCGTGAAGAGTGCAAAGGCATATATTCTCAAGGAAAAGTTTGCAAGCTTCAAGATAAAGGAGGATGAGAGTGTGCCGGAGATGTTTCATAGGCTTCAAGTGCTTGTCGATAATCTCAAAGCACTTGGAGAAGAGGTGAAGGACAAGGACTTCTCCCACAAGTTCTTGAGATGCTTGCCATCAAGATTTGGCATATTGGTCACTATTCTAGTGAGGAGTGGTTTGGACACCATGACACCAAACCAAGTATTGGGAGATGTAATTACCGATGACACATATAGAGATGATGATGAGAAGGAAGAAAAGAAGGAGAAGAAAGATGAGAAGAAGGATGACAAGAAGAAGAGTGTGGCATTCAAGGCCACATCATCCAAGGTCAAGGCAAAGCAAGAATCAAGTGAAGATGAAGACTTGAGCTTTGATGAGATGGATGATGATAAGATGGCTCTCTTTGTCAAGACATTTGACAAGTTCATGGTGAAGAAGGGATACCATGTTAGAAGGAAGAAGTCTTCATCCAAGAACAAGGAAGAGTCAAGAAGGTGCTTCAACTGTGGAAGCAAGGATCATCTTGTTGCTCAATGCCCATACAATAGCGACAATGATGATGATGACAAGAAGAGCAAGAAGAAGGACAAGAAGGAAAAGAAAGAGAAGAAGGACAAGATGACTATCAAGAAGAAGAAGAAGGGTGGTTCATATGTGGTCACTTGGGATAGTGATGCTTCCTCAAGTGATGATGACAAGACCATCAAGAAGAAGGCTCTTGCAAGCATTGCTATCAATGAGAAGCCTTCTCTCTTCGACACTCCATCATGCTTCCTAGCTAAGGCCACAAAGGTACAAACTTGTGATGATGGATGTGATGAGGAACATGATAATGAAAGTGAAAGTGAAAGTGACAATGATGATGTACCCACTAAAGATGAATTAATTGACATGTTAGAAGATGCTAAAGAATATTTTTACATTAAGAGAAGGAAATGCAAAGACTTGCGCAAGGAACTAAAAGCCTTTAAGCAAGCCTTTGATGAGCTCAATGCATCTCATGAAAGGCTAGAGGAAGCACATGAGAAGCTTGACAAGGCTCACAAGAAGCTTGAAAAAGCTCATTCCTCTTTACTTAATGAGCAAAATGAGAAGGATCATGTTGTAACATGTGACAAAGGCTTAACTTGTGATATAATTGATAAATCATTCTATAAGCCTATCATTGTTGCTCCCACTA